CACAGCAGGCCATTGTTCATAGCAAAACTTTTTGCAGCTTCATCCTCACTCAAGTCTCTTCATGGTGAAACAAGGAACTGCCCAAATCATGTAGAAAGAGGCCCAATTTTAAAAGCAAAAGGGGGAAGGGGTGCTCAAATTATCCTGTGACTGAACCAGTAACCAGTTCCCCTTCCTGAAAAATTCTCCACATCTCACCGCTTCAGTAACTTCCCAGGTAGCCAATTCTCCTGTCCTCAGAGAGGAAAACGGAATCAGATATGCTGTGGCTTTGGATCTCCACCTGCTTGCTTCACGTTGTTTCTGCTTTGTTGGGATCCATCACCCTTCCCAGCACTACTCAAGCACTGGCCTCCCTGCCTCCAGCACTTCCTTCTCCATGGTCCCCCACTACTCAATGACACTGTGGAGCTCATGGGTGAGGGCTTGTATTTAGAAATTTGGAGAGCCGTTTGCTGCTGAGTGCAAAGCATGACAAGAAAGCAAACCCCACATTCTACCTGACCCAAACTAGGTATATCCAGATTACATACTAACAGAAGTCAGTGCAGGTTTTTTTTTCCCTGGTGAAAGATGTGCTCCACTTGCCCCCTACCTTCTCTCTACGAACAACATATGTATTTGCCTCCAAATCCAATGCTGATTTCTTCTTCCTTTTGCCCTCCCGCCCAAGCTTCAGTTATTTTCTCCCCTACACACAAAACAGCTGGCAGTTTTAAACATTTGTTTGGCCCTATTTACTTTTTAGTTGAAAAAAACGTGGAGATGGATGACTTTGTCATGTAACAAGTGTCATGTAACAAGTGTCATGTAACAAGTGCTAGCTCCTTCCCCATTTTATGCACAGCCAACGTCTGCTGAAAGCTACCAGAACTGGTTTTGACGGAGCTCAGTCCTCCAGTGAAGGCTGTACATCTGACCAAATAAGGGAAAATGTTGCTCCACTGTAGTTTGACTGCCTTATTTATTTATGTCCTCTTATGTGGCTTCTTACAATAAACCAACAAGGCAGTGAAAGTTCCCACAAGAGACATGTTCTTATCCGTTGCCTTCTGGGTAGAAGCTGGGGACCTCATGGAGGTAGGAGCTCTCCCACAAAATGCATACCAACATAGCAATTGCTGCAGGGACACTGCCAGTCGGTGATTCCCTTTGCTCCCTGGCCTAATGCATACCTGCGTGGAAGGTTCCTCATATGATCGGAAGGGACCGTTGAACATGACGATCCCATTCTGATAGAAGGTGAGGGGGACTGGGTCCGGCTGCCTCAACCGAGCACCTCCTGCCACATGCTCGATTTGGGACACACCCTCCCCAGCCAGCACATTCAAATCTTTCAGGTTCTCAAAGAGGGTATCAAAATTTATTGAAGATTCTGAAACAACAGCATCACCTACGGCAAAGAGAAAAAGAGATGACTAAAGAGGAAGGAAATGGCCAGTCAGGTCTCATGCCCTGAAATTTAACTCCAGACTTCAGTGAGATAAGCGGTTGCAAAACCAGCACCATGATAATATAACGAATTAGCAATAGACTACATATAAAAGGTAAAAGGTAAAGGTTCCTGAAGTGTAGTGGGTTAGACGCGTAAAGAAAGCATGGAAACTGATGTAGTGATCAGCATGGCTTTACTGGTACACAACAAGACTAAGAACTAACGGCCGGCAGGCCAACTATATACACAGTCCAGGGGCTTCCCCTGGTCCCATTGGTGGGTTTGAATCTCCCGCCAAGGTCCCATTGGTTCCCCCCAGTGGAGGGACTAGAATCCTAGTCCCATTGTTGTGCCGGACTGAAGCTCAGGAGTGTGCGCTGACCTCCGGTGGCGGTCAGCGGACACAACATCCCTCCCCCCATAGTCCGGGCCCTCCCCTAAGTCACGTAGTCTTTTAAGTACGATGGGGACCGTCGTACTCTAGCTGACCGTCGAGGGGTGGCCCCTCGTGCTTCCGGAATTCCGACCTCAGGGCCGGGTTCTGAAGAGGGAGCTGGTGCTCCTGCTTCCGCCGCCTCCGGAACGGGGTTTTCCTCGACCGAAGCTGGAGCCGTGGGGCCCTGTGCCGGGTGCTCCTCGGCTGGCAAGTCCTGTGCAGTCGCCTCGGGTGTGGTCTCTCTAGGTTCCGTCTGCTGTCTCGTCTCTTCCTCTGTCTGGGACTCCGGTAGCACTCGCTGTCTGAGCTGGTCGATGTGCCTTCTCCATATCTGCCCGCACTCCGTGGATACCTCGTACATCACGGTACCCAGGGGCCGGAGTATGCGGCCCGCAATCCACTCCGGACCGCGGCCGAAGTTTCTGGCGAGAACCGGGTCCTCTGGGAAGAACCCCCTTGGTGCTTCCCTCTGCTCGACTGCGTTTCTTTGGTCGGGGGCCCGGTCGGGGTGCAGGCGGTCCAAAAGGATCGTTGGCTTTCGACCCATCAGTAGTTCTGCTGGGCACCTTCCGCTGACAGGGTTGGGAGTCGTGTGCTGGGTCAGGAGGAATCTGGCGATGCGGCATTCCCATTCCCCTTCCACCATCCGGCTCAAGGCCTCCTTTGCGGTTCGGACCATTCGCTCCGCTTGGCCGTTGGTTGCGGGGTGGAACGGCGCTGACCGGACATGTCGGATCAAGTTGCTGCTGAGGAACTGCTGGAATTCCTCGGACGTAAAAGCCGTCCCGTTGTCCGACACGATGGTGTCCGGCAGCCCGTGTGTGGCAAAGAGTCCTCGTAGGGCGCGGATGGTGGCTTTTGCGGACGTTGCAGCCACGGGGCTTATTTCCAGCCACTTTGAGTAGGAATCCACCGTGACCAGGAACAGCCGTCCCTGGAATGGCCCTGCGAAGTCTATATGGAGCCGGGACCACGGGGTACGGGTGGATTCCCACGCCTGCGCTGGTGCCCCCGGTGGGCTGGGTCTCACCGCCTGGCAGGGCTGACAACGCTTGACCCATGCTTCCACCTCTGCGTCGATGCCGGGCCACCAGACGTAGCTTCTTGCCAGCCCTTTCATCCGGACGATGCCCGGGTGAGCTTCATGCAGTGCCTGGAGGACCCTCTGGCGTAATGCGTGTGGGACCACGACCCTGTCTCCCCATAGCAGGCATCCCTTGTGTGCAGAAAGTTCGTCCCGCCGGGTAGCATACGCCGCGAACTCAGGGTCTGTCTTCTCAGGCCACCCCCTCACCACCCAGCCCAGAACCCGGGATACCACGGGGTCCCGAGCCGAGCGGCGGGCAATGTCCCGCGCTTGCAACGGGGCCTCCGGCAGGCCCTCCAGCTGAAGGACCCGGAAGGCTGGGGCCGGGTCCTCAACCACCTCAGGTAGTGGGAGGCGGCTAAGAGCGTCCGCGTGGCCCATGGCTTTCCCGGGGCGGTGCAGGAGCAGATAATTGTAGCCAGCGAGGAAAATAGTCCACCTTAGGACTCGCGGCGAGAGAACCTGCGGCGTCCGGCGGTCGGGCGCGAAGAGGCCGAGGAGCGGGCGATGGTCTGTGACAATGGTGAACGGCCTGCCGTATATGTAGTCGTGGAACTTCTTGACCCCGGCCACAATTGCGAGACCCTCCCGGTCGATCTGGGCGTAGTTCCGCTCCGCCGCAGAAAGGGTTCGAGAGTAATAAGCGACCGGGACCTCCCTGCCGTCGGCCAAACGGTGAGCCAACACAGCCCCGACCCCGTAAGGCGAGGCATCGCATGCCAAAACCACCGGTAATGTCTCATCAAAATGGGCCAGGCTTGGAGTTATCACCCTATGGCCCTTTGAAGGAGTAGAGTTTAGAACAGGGGTGTCAAACATGCGGCCCGGGGGCCGGATCAGGCCCCCGGGAGGGCTTCTATCAGGCCCACAGTGGAACTGGCTGTCTTCTCCTTCTTCTTCCAGTTCTGCTGCTGCTGCGCCATCATAGCTTTGCAGCTTACAGATACACACCTGAACAGCATACTCAAGATGGCAACAGCACAGGCATTTTGATGCAGTAATTCACAGCAAGAGGTGTCAGTTATCAGACACTGTTAAATAAACACAATATTGCAAGAGTGCTCATGTTTTAAGCATGTTTTTATTTTACGTTAAAAAAAACCCTTTGTGTTTGTGTTCTTTATAAAGTTTATATCTCCGCTATCTGGCATGACATTTTATGACACACGTGGCCCAGCCCAACAAGGTCTCATTTAGGTCAGATCCGGCCCTCATAACAAGTGAGTTCGACACCCCTGGTTTAGAACAATGGTGGCAGCAACTGCCTGGCGAGAGGATTTTGGACATCCCAGAGCTTTCCTCAGTCTCCTCTGACTCATTTCCAGAACATTTTACTATGCTGATTGCATCTTCATTTTCTTGTACTACCACGCAGGGCTCTTTTTGTAGCAGGAGCTCCTTCGCATATTAGGCGACACCCCCCCTAATGTAGCCAATCCTCCAAGAGCTTACAGAGCTCTTCTTACAGGGGCTGCTGTAAGCTCTTGGATGATTGGCTACATTAGGGGGTGTGTCGCCTAATATGCAAAGGAGCTTCTGCTACAAAAAGAGCCCGACTGCTTTCTTTCTAATTTTTGGCTCCATCATCAACCGAAAGGGAGACTGCTACCAAGGAAGCAGAAGGAGATTGAGGCTGGAAAAGGCAGCCATGAAGGAGCTAGAAAAGACCCTTAAGTGTAAGGATGTGTCGCTGGTGACCAAACTCAAGATAATCCCTACCACCGTATTCCCCATTGATATGTCTGGGTGTGAAAGGTGGACGATGAAGAAAGTCGGCAGGAAGAAAGTGGATTCCTTTGAAATGTGGCGTTGGAGGAGAGTTTCACGGATAAGTGGGTCCTACACCAAACCAAGCCTGAACCCTCCCTAGAAGCTCAAAATGACTAAACTGAGATTATTGTACCTTGGTCACATTATGAAAAGACAAGAGGTGCTGGAAAAGACGATCATACTAGGAAAAATGGAAGGCAGCAGGAAAAAAGGAAGACCCAATATGAGATGGATGGACTCCATCAAGGAAGCCACGGCCAGTCCCGTAGCCAGGATTTTTTTGGTTCAGGGGGCATTTAAATTTTTAAGGGGGCAGTTAAATTACAGTTAAATTAATCTGAATGTGTTAAGTCGCTCGCTTAGCAAAGTAGTCGGAGAGTGATTCAGCAAAGGTCCAACTTTATTCAACAACTCGAACACAACTCCAACACGGATCAACACCTGATAGCCAGAACAGCTTTTGCATTAAAGCTGTTCCCTTTTTAAACTCTCCCGGCTAATGTAGCCGCGCCTACTATACAATTATCAACCAATAAGGTTGTATACATAAGGAGCAATCACGGACGTTCCCGCTCAGGGAGCTTGCTGACCAGTGATTGGTAGGTTCTTCCTGGGCTAGCAATGTGATTGGATGGATTTGGATCCTAGCCCAGGACGAAGCTTTACATGCAAGTCAATTATGTAGTTCACATATCGTTATGCATTCAATGGCAGCTATTGAATGCATTACAGAATGCCTATCTTTAAAGGCGGAGACTCCGAGCCTGTTTCTAGCCCTTCCTTTCAAGGGACAGGACAGCGAGCGCATCAGTTCCTAGGAAAAAAACAGCTCAGATGACATTTGATTGCCTTCAGAAGGCATTTGAATGCCTTTTGAGTTCCCTTCCACAGGACAAAAAAGCTTAGAAGGGTACCTTCAATACATCTCCAACAATCTCCCATTCTGCTAGCCCAGTACCACCTAGGTCATCATGGTCAAAAATAAAGTTTCTGGCATGGCTATTTGTGGGGCGGGACTTTTAATTAAGGGGGCAGGGCCCTGAAATGCCCCACTGTAGATACAGGCCTGGCCATGGCCCTCAGTTCACAAGACCCAAGAGGCTGTTAACGATAGGACATTTTGGAGGACACTAATTCATAGGGTCACCCTAAGTTAAAAGCAGCAGAAAAGAGCAAGAGTCCAGGAGCACCTTAAAGACTAACAAAATACGTGCCACATATTTTGTTAGTTGAAGTGTAGTGGGTTAGACGCGTAAAGAAAGCATGGAGGCTGATGTAGTGATCAGCATGGCTTTACTGGTACACAACAAGACTAAAGACTAACGGCCGGCAGGCCAACTATATACACAGTCCAGGGGCTTCCCCTGGTCCCATTGGTGGGTTTGAATCTCCCGCCAAGGTCCCATTGGTTCCCCCCAGTGGAGGGACTAGAATCCTAGTCCCATTGTTGTGCCGGACTGAAGCTCAGGAGTGTGCGCTGACCTCCGGTGGCGGTCAGCGGACACAACAGTTCCCTTGCTCGAAAGCCAGTCGAGTCCGACTCTAGGGTTGCGGTGCTCATCTCCATTTCAAAGCCGAAGAGCCAGCGCTGTCCGAAGACGTTTCCGTAGTCATGTGGCCGGCATGACTAAACACCAAGGCGCACAGAACGCTGTTACCTTACCACTGAAGTGGTACCTATTTATCTACTTGAAATTTCTTGCTTTCGAGCTGCCGGGTTGGCAGGAGCTGGAACCAGAGACGGGAGCTCACTCCGTCATGTGGCACACTTGAGTATTGAACTGCTGAACTACCGACCTTCCACAGCCTGCAGTTCAGTGTCTTAACATATGTACACCTACAATTTGCACCCTGGGCTCCAGATACGGAGAGGCTTGTTTTTTAAAGGTACAGCACTTATGGGAACCATAACAGTTATAAATACCCAGAGGGGGGAAAATGTAATTTTATATTGGAAATAGGGCTCCTTGCTCCCAGACCATATGAAAAGCTATCCATCTTCCTCCAAGGAAGACAGCAAACATAGCCCTCCCAGATTGCCACTTTGGGGTCAGGAAGCAATGTTCTCCAGGCCAATTTGGCCTGGGTTCCTGGAAGGGTCCCTCCCTCTTCTGGGCACAGAGAAGGGGTCACTGGTAGTGGGGGGGGGGAAAGGTATTCATGAATTTCCTGCATTGTGCAGGGCCTTGGCCTAGATGACTCTTGAGGTCCCTTCCAACTCTATGATTCTATGATCCCCTTCCCCATTTTACCCTTACAACAAGCCAATGAGGTAGTTTAGACTAGCTGAGAATGACTGGCCTGAGGTCGTGCAGCAGGCACCCAAACCCAGATCTCCCAGTCCCTAGCCCAACCACTACACCACACTGGCTTTCACAACCTGATAGTCTGCATTGTTATTCAATAAATGTGCACGGCATTTTATGGAGTTTTATGAGAAAAAAACCCAGGTCCCTGCTCCAGGGACGTTACAGTCAAAGCTTTCACATTAGAGAAGCAACACAGGTTATCTTAAAGGACACTGGTAATTGTTAATGGACTGTTATTTCTCCTGGCAAACCTGGCTTCCAGAGACCCCTTGATGTCCGACTCCCTTCTCCGTCCATTGACTCCATATCTTCTGCGGATTCATTTAGCTCACCCACCCAGATCAGTCCATAGTCATTCAGAAACCGCTGTGCGGAGAGAAATGGGAACAGTTTAAGGGGAGGGTGAGGATCACAGTGGAGGGTCGAGAAGGGAAACCTCCGGATTCTGAGATGTAACGGACAAGGTAAAGTTGGCCTAAGGAGAGGGTTTTTTTTGTTTTTTAAAAAAAGTTTTTTGTGAATACTTAATGCTCAGGAATCAAAGTGTGAGAAGCTGAACCCCCAGTTTCCCACACTGCGCAAAGCAGCATCTTTATTTATTCTGTGTCATAACGATATAAGAAGCCTCCCCTCTGTAGTTCATTTTGGTGCTGATGGGTCCCAGGAATAATTCCCGGTGCAACTTCTCTCCTGTAGATGATTATGCTACCAGTGCAGTTGCATAGCATCCCATGCCCATTTTAAAATGTCACCAATGATTTCTGCAAGTACTTGTATAATTTTTTTTCAAGTCAGCTGCCCCAGTGGTTAAAAAAAAAGGTGCACTCTCAGTTCATTGAGTAGCAAATTTTATCTTTGGTTTTAGCTGTGGATGTTTTAAACTATTATTGTAAGTTGCCTTGATCCAAAAGGAAAGGTGGGATAGAAATGTTTTAATAAATAATATGAAAGCTCACAGAAATATAGAGACCATTTTAGAAGAGGTATTCACCCAACTTCCTTTGTAAAAAAGCAGGAAACGCCTCTTCTGAAATGGCACTCTGAATCACAAAAAAGAAAAAGAAAAGAAAATGCCTGAGAAAGATGTCTTGCATGTCCCCATTAATTAAGTTCTTGCACCCAGAACTGAGTCATGCACTATTCAGCAGCATCACATCCAAGGTCTGAAGTAAAATCCCTTTGCAATGAATGAAGAGGAAGCTCGGTTTCCATCTCTGGCCTCTTCCATTACCTCCATTTCCCAGATCTGCTGCTGCAGCTGAAGGCAGATCACTTCCAGCTCCTCCGTTCTGCTCAACCTGGAAGATTCCTCTAGGGAAAAATAACAAACCCAGAAAAGATTAAAGATTCCTCAGGTTTTTGTGTAACATCAAACAGCAGAAAGGACAGAGGCAGACCACATCCCTATTATCAATGGACTTTAAACGTGCAGCTACCAAATAGAGCAAACAGCTCCCTCCCAGGCCCTTTTGGGATGAAGAAATGCTGTGGGGGAGGAGGAAGATGAAGCCCCTCCCCCACACAGTGATCCTGATCTGACTCAAGGCCCCAGGATAGGGCTGCCAAGTCCCCCCGGGGGGCGGGGAAACCCCTGCCCCAGAGGCCCGTTCCCCACCGCCGGCGGATCAGGCCCCGGAGGGAACCCCGCCCCGATGTGCGCATCACCAGGAAGTGACATTAGGACGCCGAGCATGCTGGGGGCGGGGCCATGAACATTGGAGGGAAAACTCTATGGTTTTTCCTCTGAGGGTCGTGGCCCCGCCCCCAGTGTGCCCGGCGTCCTAATGTCACTTCTGGGTGATTTGCGCGCGTTGCGCGCGCGCCTCAGTCGCCACACGGGAATCCCCCACTGCGGCGACTGCAACGACTTGGCAACCCTACCCCAGGATACTTGGGGACTGTGTAAAGATCAGTGAAAAAAATATTGTGTCATTTGGATCCCACCGTCAGAATGGAAAGAACAATGACTGGGGGTCAGTTGGAGCATGCCTCTTGCAAAACTGAGACATTTGCTCAGGTGAGCCCGGCTGGTTGCAGGCATATTTGGGACCCCAAGCCTTCATAGAGGCCTGCTCCACCACCCATGGCAAGGCCCTGCTTTGGCCTGGAGGAAGGCCTCCAGATAAGCATCCCCACCCCCGTATCTCAAGCAAAACCTGGCCCCTGCCCACTGTAGAACAAAAGGAGCAGAGGTTAGAAGACTCTCACCATTGCCTTTCTGAAAGATTTTCATCTGCTCCTCAAGCGCTTTGATCTTCTTGTCCTGCAGATCCAAAAGAGCAAAATAAGGGCCAAAATTAGACATGACCCGGGTGTGTGTGTGTGTGGGGGGGATCCACATATGTTTATGTAAGTGTCTACCTATTTGCATCTAAAAGCAGAGTCTCTGCAAATATCTTTCTTTTTTTTTTAATGGAGCATGCAGACAAGGGGAGCTGAACTCTGCCCTTCTCCCACCTTCCTTTGCTTTCCACAAAGACCCTTCCCATTCCTGCAGAATAACATGTATTTTAGGAATCTGCTGCCGCCGCCCGAGAAGAGTGTTTCCAGCCAAGGCTGCTTGGCTCTGCCTGCCCCTGTTTCTCGGAAAAGGCCTGAGGCTTCTCACAGATGAAAACTTTTTGGTTAGAATTTTATTTGTACCTCCCAGAAATTGGCCTTGGGTCCCACTCAGGGAGAGAACTGTGGGGTGAAAATAACTTTTAAAAGAACTAACTAACTAACTAACTAAGTAAAAGAACCAACACTAAAATAAAAGTATAATTTGGTTTTTAAAACATGTTTAAAAATGTAACAAATAGGTCTCCCTCACTTTAACCATGAACAGGTGGCACCTTTAGGACTAAATTCCGACATATCAACTGCAGCTAATTCTGGTAAATTTTCCACTTACAAAAAGCTCACTGGCATATATCCCTCTTTAGGCACATCATTCACCATCCCAAATAATCAAGGGAAAATAACATCAGCTTGGGTGGACACACAATCACCATTTATTCATTTATTTTCATGTGGCTTTTGCAAATTCTGTTCCATTTTCTCCACTTCCATGAACCACTCATGTGCAATGCTACAGCCCAATATCAGCTTTCCCCATACTTTGCATATTAGACACACACATGTAAAAATCTATTCAAAATGACAGAACCTAGACCTTGCTGTTGGACAATCTGCTTTGTAGAGTCCAGTTCTAGGTTTGTTCCTTTGTGGCAGTAAAGACTTTTGAGGCACTGTAAAGTTGCATCATGGCACATGCCTGTGCAAGCCAGATCCCACATTGGTTGTGGTGGATCACATGAATCTTCATTCACTTGATGGGATGTCATATTGTGCTCTGCCTAGAACTGGAACGCACTAACAGCTATCTCTTGGGATGCTTGGCTTTTCAGCAGTGTTCCCTCTAAGCTGAGTTAGTGTGAACTAGCTCACAGTTTTTTAGCCTCCAGCTCACACATTTTTGTCCTAGCTCAGGAAGGATAGCTCCAGATCAAACTAATTTATGCAGTAGTCAAATTGCCCGCTCACAACCTTCATGCCAGTAGCTCACAAAGAAGAATTCTTGCTCACAAGACTCCACAGCTTAGAGGGAACATTGCTTTTCAGTGTAAGTAAAAAACCACAGTTTAATCCTAAACACAATAATACCATTCTATGCCCACTGATTATTATGAATTTAGGATCCAGCTAGGTTTAGGATTGTACTGAAAAATCTTCTTTCTTATCACCCTCAAGGCAAGCAACATCTACCCATGTAGGTAACTGACTCATGAGAAATTAACTCTGGCTTATTGGTTATGCTTTAAAATGTCATAAGATTACATCATATTTGTGGAGTGTAATTCCCACATTTGTCAGTATTTGGATGGGAGGCCACCAAGGAAGCCCAGGGTTGCTACACAGAGGCAGGCAATGGCAAACCACCTCTGAATGTCTCTTGCCTTGATATCCTCATGGGGTCGCCATAAGCCGACTGCAACCTGACAGTAAAAAAAAATAAAATCCCAGCCTCCTCCACCTATGTCTAATATGGGGTGGGGGGACTTCTCTGAATCCAGGGTGGTCTTCAGATGAGTCCCTGCACTGTAGGCCTTCCCCTTGTGCTGACCTGATGGTTCTGTAGCTCCATCCTCAAGTTTTCCCCAGGACCCCAGAATCACTTAGGACCACTCCAGATTTGAAGAGCCATTCAACCTCAGTCCACAGTGGTTTAACCTACCCTGAAACACATTTGAATCATCACTGGGCACAAGGCTGGTGCCTGCCAGGTCTGTTTTTACCTTGTGCTGAATGGCAAGGGCTTGGCTCTTGACTTTCTGTTCCAGCAAAGCAATCTTCTGCATCATGGAGGTCATCAGCTCCATGTCTGTGGGAGCAACTTCTACAAGCACAAAGTCAACACATGGTGGGAACCAGTCAAAGATTCAGTTTTCAAGCCTCTGATCTCCCAATGACACAGTGTGGGGCGGGGTGTGTGTGTTGGAATTCTCAGTACATTCTCAGTCAGTTGCCTGTACTGACTTTGAGTCCAGGTCCTTGGCAGGAACAGAAGAGCATCCATTTCTCAATCAGCAATGGACAATAGCAGCAAAGGTGCTTGTGACATCCTTGCTTATTGGGGAGACGGTTTCTCCTTTAAAACACACTCTGTGTACATGAACTTGGTAGATTTCTGCTGCCACCAGGAATTAAAAATTCCAAATCTCTCTCTTTTGGTATAGTGACCCAAGGTCTGGGCACTTCAGAGCAGTGTTCCCTCTAAGCTGAGTTAGTGTGAGCTAGCTCTCAGTTTTTTAGCCTCCGGCTCACACGTTTTTGTCTCAGCTCAGAAAGGATGGCTCCAGGGCAAACTAATTTATGCAGTAGCCACATCACCCGCTCACCACTTTCATGCCAGCAGCTCACAAAGTAGGATTTTTGCTCACAATACTCCACAGATTAGAGGGAACATTGCTTCAGAGTACTATGTGGCCCTGAGGAAGGACTATTCTGATTGCTGGGATAAGTTTAAACAACAACAACAAAATTAATAAAGAACAATAGGTTTCTGGTTATTTTGAACTGTTGCTGAAGAAAGGAACTTGTAAATATATCTGGCAAAGCTTGGCGTCACAGTCTCTCAAACTCCAGAACTCCCTCTGACAGGCTTAGACACTCAGTCTAATCTCTCTCTCTCATATATATACTCACACAGGCTAAACTCTTTTGTCTTATTCACACAGAATAGACTCAAACTCTCATAGTCACACAGACTAAACTGTTTGTCTTATTCACACAGAATAGACTCAAACTCCCATAGTCACACAGACTATGCTCTCTCTCCAAACCTCACACTCAGAATCTCATACAAAAACTTCAACACTCATCCCTTCATGAACACTGAATCACCTCAGAGACATCTCTCCTCCCACTCTCTCAGTCATCAGCCAATCACATCACACTTATCTCCCTCTATCACTCTCCTTACATAACTGCAGTCAAACTAAAAATTTAAAGAAACACACACACCAAAACAAGAAATCATTACAAATCCCCCCCTTGTCCTTAAGCGGCACACATCTCTTTTTCCAAAGAGTTGTGTGTAGCTTCTTCTGATGCAGGGAATCTCTTATAGACTTTAGTCTGGAAGTTCATTTTAGTCCATTCTTCTCCTCTGTTGCTGTTAATTTAAATGTGGTTTCTTTGACTCACAATCCCACTCTGCTGGGGTGTTGTTTTCCTCTAAGTGATGTCCTCTGCTGGGCTGCTGTCATCTCTGGGGTGTTCCACTGTTGGGCTGAGGTCATCTCAGCTTTGGTCTTCTCCGCTAGGTTGTTGTTTGCTTTTACTGGATGTTCCAACATCAATATTCTGTTGATTGCCTTTTTTTCTGTCTCGTTTTCTTTTTCTTAAGGCTTGTATTTAGTTTCCATACTTGCAAAGAGTCACTCCAAGGCAGTTTCTTAGCTAGATCTTCTAAATCCTTTAGAACTTCTTCCTTAGTTTCTTTGAACTGATAATCTTTGAACTCCTGAACTACAACAAATAAATTGTCCACTGATCTTAACTGGTGTACCTGTGGAAGACTGATTACGGGAATTTCAAAATAGATTTTTCCTCGATCCTTGCTAATTCTAGACTGTGGCACTAGTTTCTCTTGCACTTCATCTGCAGCAGTCAGCTAAAAGCCACATGGTACAGTAGCTCCAATAGTGACCACACTATCTTTACAGCTTGCATTCAGATCGGCTTTCTCTCTTATGACCTTTAATTCAGTGTCTGTTTTAATCTTTCTTAAACTCTTCATAGTTTTTATTTTTCCCTGCTTCTGTAACTTGGGAATTTGCATTAACACTGACAGGAGTCTGTGAGGCCTGCTTTCTCTCTGCCTCCTGAAATGTATCAATTGTATTTGTTGCTAAGATACTTAGGGGCTTGCTTGCCTGTTCTGCTGGCTTATCTTACAGCACTCCATTATAGGCATGTGCATTCGGGTTTACCAACCTGAAAACCCCTCCCAAAAAAACCATTTTCAGGTTTTTTTGGGTTTCGGCATTCCAACACAGCCTCCTGAAAACGGCATTCCAAAACAGCCTCCTGAGCTGTTTCGGAAAGCCAAAAAAAAAAAAATGTCGAAAAAACCCAAAATTTTTCGGCTTTTTTCGGGAATACAGAAAATGGCCTCTAGGGGGGTTTAAAGTTTAAATGGCGCCATTCTGTTTGCTTTTCCTGCCATTTTAGCCTCTTTCCCGCCTCCTCCTCTGGTTTCCAGGAAGGAGGGGGAAAGAGGGACCTTGCAGTCAGCCAATCATTGCAATGCATTTCAAAATGCATTGCAGCTTGCAACTTTTTGCAAGGCTGTTGTTGCTGCTGCTGGCTTCAGTTGTGAAGCCAGGGAAGGAGCACTGGTGGCCAACAGGATTTTGGCATCTGCTCTGGCCAATCACAGAAGGTTGTTCCTTTTTGAAATCCTTCTGTGTATGCCCAGAGAGCATAAAAGCAGACTCTCTGGCTGGCTGACTCCATCCTGTTCCCTGCTGCTGCTGGTAAGAGAGAGCTTGGCTTGGAGATTGTGTGTGGCTGGCTAGCTTCTGCTAGAATCAGCCCCTGCTCCTTGAGCCTGCTTTCCTCCCTACTCCTGCCTGCCTTGTGGACTACGTCAGATCAAGATTCAAGACTGAAGACATCATACTAGTTTGAATTATATTAGGGCACTTTTTTAAAAAAAATATTTCTTGCGGGTTGGGGCCTGGAGTTGGTGTGGTGGTGGGGGGTAGGCTTCTAGGGCCTCTCATCCTGTGGGGGTTTTTTTTTGGGGGGGAGGGAAGATTCCTTTATTTTAGATTGTGCCAGCCTGTTGTTTTTGCATTTTTGCATTTTCCTTTTATTTTTTTACTGTGATTGATATTTTATTTCATTTCTTGGCTTGTTGGGGCTTTTTTGGGGTGGGGGGTTACTGGTTAGCCTTCTGCCTCTCACTCTCTGTTTTTAGTTCTTTCTTGTGTTTTTGGTTCTGTTGCCTTTGCAGTTTAATTTTTTTTAAGTTCTTGTATTTTCTGGGTTTTGGGGGGGTTACTAGGCCTTCTGCCTGGGGCCTAGATTCTCTGCTTTTGGTTCTTGTTTGTCCTTTGTGGTTCTGTTCTGTTGTTTTTGCAGTTTCAATTTTTTAAGTTCCTTGTGTTTGCTGGGCTTGTTGGGTTTTTTGGGGGGGGTTACTAGGCCTTCTGCTTGGGGCGTAGGCTCTGTCTGTTGCCGTTCTGTTCTGTGCATTTTAGAAGGTTTTGTTTTGGCTTTCTTAACACTGAATCACCTCAGAGACATCTCTCCTCCCACTCTCTCTGTCATCAGCCAATCACATCACACTTATCTCCCTCTATCGCTCTCCTTACATAACCGCAGTCAAACTAAATATTTAAAGAAACACACACACCAAAACAAGAAATCATTACAGTGCTACTGTTCAACTCTTCTGTAATCAAGTAAGTTATACCTGCTGTGCCCTTAGATTTCAGAGGACATCAATCCTTAACATAAAATGACATTTGTCCCAAACCACACATCATGTCAAGGATTCATGTTTGGACCCCGAGATGTGTAGAAAGAGCCACAAGAAGGATCCAATATGGTTCAAGACCATAGTGCTCAGGAGAACAGAGGGTTAACTCTCCTACTGTGCCATTTCTCCAAAGAGAAGAGGCCTACCTCAAACTGCTTTTGTTTATGGATGTGAAGATATGGTTGAAAGTGGTTGAACCCTGGCTGCTGAAAAAAGCTAGAAAGACACAAGAGTTTCTGCATATCTCCTGGATCCTCTGTCTGACCAACGGAATCACAACAAAATATGCAAAAAGGCCAGAGTAATTAATGCCAAGTTAAAGATGTTATATGCCTTCACTCAGAACAAAATTTGAATCCAGTGGTACCTTTCAGACCAACAGAGTTTTATTTAAGGTATAAACTTTCATACGTACTCACACTTCTTCAGGTACAGTGAAAAGGGAGTTACCAGTCCATACATATACGTAGAGGCTGAGCAGCAAATTAGCATACAACATAATGAAGATGTTGAACAGATGCAGGCCAACAGGAATAATAGACCAAACAGGAATAATAAGCTTAGTTTATATGGTCGCCATTTGTTTGGATTTAATTCTTGGGGGGGGGAACATAGTGAAACAAATAAATATAGCAAAATTGGATACTGGTGTGTAAATGTACCCTTCTTAATTGTGGAATGCTGAGAGTAATCAACAGAGAACCTGTTATGTTCCATCTCCTCGCAAGCATGAAGGTAGCTAAAAGCATCCTTTTCTTTAAGGTGGGGTGATTGGTTGTGCAGTGTTAGTTCTCTTCTGTCACCAGACCATATAAATTGTGACCATATAAACAAACTAAGCTTGTTATTCCTGTTTGATCTTTGCATATGTATGGACTGGTAACTTCTGTTTCACTGTATTTGAAGAAGTGTGCATGCACACAAAAGCTTATACCTTGAAAAAAATCTTTATTGGCCTTAAAGGTGCCACTGGATTCAAATTTTGTTCTGTTGCTTCAGACCAACACGGCTACCCACCTGAATCTATGCCTTCACTCAGTTTCCTTAACAGCAATTACTCATCAAAGCTCAGCTTGTCAGTGCAGAATGCACGTGGCCTGGGCATAGAATTTCAGTTCTTTCAGTGCCCCCTAGCCACAGAGTAAGCTTGGCTTCCTCCCATCTTTGCAACTGAAATGACAGATGAGCAGCAGCTAATCCATTAGCCCTGCCCCTTTTCACATGCTCCAGGTAGGCTGATTATTTTTTAATTTCTAAAAGCCCCACATTCATGTAACCCCATTCAGTATCCTTTTTTTAACCCCCCCCCCCAACCGGATCCAGGTTTTT